ATGCTTTGCAATTTTCCTCTCCTTTTACCAAAAAATGCAAGGTAACAGAACCTCTTGGGTTGGCAGGACAGAATGGTCACGAGGGCCTCCATCTTTATGTTTATGTAAAAAATATGGACACAACTCAGTTGAGTCCATACAGAAAGATGAAACTTGAAAGAGCCTGAGTTTCTATCCATAAAAGTGCTTCTCTGGCACATTCTCTTCCCCAAAGCCAATTGCTGCAGAAACCAAAATAGGAGTGCAAATGGGGTTCAGAAGATGGCCAGCGAATGTGGAGCAAAGGAAAAAGATACAGGAATACTCTTAAGGATGCTTCATGCTCTCTAAGTCAGAATTTGGAAAATTGCCCCTTTAAGCGAAGGTAAAGAATCCTTAGGGTCACTCTCCTCCCAGGTTTCCAAGCCTTACAAGACAAAAGCCAGAGTGTGATTAGGCTCTGTTTTAGATAAAAAGCTGACCAAAACATCTGGCTTATGCACTCTGGTGTGACTGAGTGTTGACCCATGGACCAAGAGCCTGGGTTGCCAGCTTAATCCCCAGTAGATGCATGCAGGAGGCAGTTGGCCAATATTTCCCTGTCATCAACATTCCTCTTTCCCTTCTTCCTCTAAAAATCAATAAAAACATTAAAAAAGAAAACTAGCTTGCAATGAAAAAAGTTTCATTTTAAGTGTGCTTACCATATTTTCCGGCATATAAGACGACCCCCTAATTTTACAGTTGAAACATCGGTTTAGGCCTATATTCGCTGTATAAGACTGCCCCCCACTTCCAAGGCAACACCAGTTCTTTTTTTAATAAACCACTTCTCTGACTCTGGCCAATCTGTACCCAAAGTACAGAACATGTACACTGTGTTCTAGTAAAAAGCCTGCTCAGATTGGCCTGCTCAGATTGGCCAGAGTCAGAGAGGCCGTCTATTAAAAAAAGAACTGGTGTTGCCTCGGAAGTGGGGGGTAGTCTTATACAGCGAATATAGGCCTAAACCTGTTTTAACTAAAAATTAGGGGGTCGTCTTATACGCCGGAAATGCGGTACGCTATTTGAAGTGTAACCCATGTTTTTATTAAGTACTAATGACTAATTTTGCCTGCAGAGCTCAAGTTCTGGTCCTTCTGATGTGTCAATACAAGCAAGTCTAAAGGAGCCATTTTTGCAACAGGCTCAGATGACATTTTTTAGAAGTATTTTTTTTTCAATTACAGTTTACATTTAATATTATTTTGTATTAGTTTCAGGTTTACAAAGTGATACCCAGATATTTCAAGTACTCTCCTGGTACCATAGTTATAATATTATTGACTATGTTCTATGCTGTACTTTACTTCTCCATGACTATTTTGTGACTATCAGTTTGTACCTAATCCGTCACCTTTCTCATCCAGTCCCCCAAAGCTATGAAGTTTTAATTAAGGTATGTGTAATGGCTTTTTTTAAGACAATGGTACTTACTGCACACTTAATAGACTACAGTATTGTGTAAACGTAACTAGTATATGCACTAGGAAACCAAATATTCATATGATTTGCTTTTCTGCGGTGGTCTTGAACCAAACTGCTGTATGTCTAAGATACACCTGTATTTATGAGGAGCAAGTCCCATATAGCATCACCCTCTGTAAGATTCATCTTTGGCTTCCATGACACTCCTGCCCCTAACACTTGGCCACCATCAAGTCAGACTTCACCCAACAGGTTCTCCATGGAAGAACGGGAAAGCCTAACAGCCTTTCTCTTGGATACCTCCTTAGGCCAGCCATGTTGCCTCCATTGTTCTTGCAGGAATGTATTACTGCCAAGTTCTGGTCTTCTGGCTTGTGATTGAGCAGAGGATCCTGGCTGGGAAGACAATGTCAAAACTCTCAGCTATCAGGCTAGCCTGCCCCATCCTCAGCCCAGAAGCAGTGAAAGTTGTGATCTTATTTCTCCTCTTTGGCTAAATATCCTTCCCTCCTGAGGATCAAGAGGCATTACAAACTTGCTAGTGCTCAACATATTCCTTGAGCCCAATTCTATGTATTCATCTAAAAGGCAATAAGGGAGAAACCAAGATCCATTTTAGAGTTTAGTCAGGTTAATACATATTTCTACACCCTTCTTGATTATAACCTCTGAACATTTAATGATTCAGCTGCCTCAACAATCTAGTTGAAAATGAACAACTCGTTTTAAGACATCACTATTAATACTATTAATAGCCGTTTTGTAAATTTTCTATGGGTGTCCTAGCTCGTTTTAAAGCATTAAAGTGGTTTACCAAGAGTACATATAATAGAAATCTCAAGACAAGGCAAAAAAATAAAATTAAAAATAAATTTAACCAATAGAAAATGGAGTATTTGGCTTAGAGCACAAGCCTCATTGAACATAGTGTATACATAAGTTGTTGCACCAAGTGCTTACATCCAATATGTGTAGAGCGTCAGCTTGGGGACTGAAAGGTCCCGGGTTCAATTCCAGTCAAGGGCATGTACCTTGGTTGTGGGAATATCCCCGGTAGGGGGTGTGCAATTTAACCAATAGAAAATGGAGTATTTGGCTTAGAGCACAAGCCTCATTATCCAAGGGAGTAAGAAAAGCATTACCAAGTTTTTGGCTGTTTTATCTAATTTGGGGCACATGGGGATGCCCTCAACAAGATTTTAAGTGCACACAGCAACTCGTTTCATTAACCTATTTTCCCAATAAAAAATGAAAACATTTGCTTCTGCTCTGGCACTTCAGCTTGGATGGACTTCCTTGTGAATACTACCTATAGAAATCCTGACTATATATTTTAGCCAGACTTTGAAGGACAGGAACTACCAGATAAAGAAAATAAAGGACAGGAACTACCAGATAATTCCCCTTAAAATTCCTTTTAAGGGGAAGCAGGAGCCAACAGGTTAAGTAAGACAGGTGTGACAAACAGTGTGGATGGAGTAGCAATTTAGCATGAAAATCACCTGGGAAGCTGTTGCATTATCTGGATTGTAGTCAGCTAACATCAGGAGTTGATTGAGGGTGGCCAAGGCCTCTGGGCTTGGAAAATTAGAAGTAACACATATTGGATGTAAGCACTTGGTGCAACAACTATGTATACACTATGTTCAACAGCTTTCCTTGAACTAAAAATAAAAGTTTTTAAGAAGATAATCTCCCTTTTAAGACAAAGTTTGAGGTGCAAGTGGATATTGACAGAGCTGTCTAGTGCACACCATTAGTGCTGATCAAAGCCTAAACAAAGGACCACAGATGTGGACATCACAGCATCTAGAGTGGAAGCTACAGGACAATGTCCCAGGAAGGCTGGAGATAACCAAAACAGCCTGAACTCTTAACTATTACAATGGAAATGGACAGGGGAATGAAGATGAACATAGCAGACCAATGTGAAGAAAATTTTAAATGCTGATTAGAAGGAAAAGGCTGTTTACTATTGCATTTGACCATTAAGAACTTGGTGACCGCCGAAACCGGTTTGGCTCAATGGGTAGAGCGTCAGCTTGGGGACTGAAAGGTCCCGGGTTCAATTCCAGTCAAGGGCATGTACCTTGGTTGTGGGAATATCCCCGGTAGGGGGTGTGCAAGAGGCAGCTGATCGATGACTCTTCATCCATGTTTCTAACTCTGTATCTCTCTCCCTTCCTCTCTGTACAATATCAATAAAATATATTTTAAAATATATATTAAAAAAAAAAATCTTGGTGACCACATTTTGGCAGATAATATGGCAGACCGATTTTTAAATATATTTTACTTTTGAGATAGAATAGAAACATCAATGATGAAAATCATTGGCTGCTTACTGCATGCCCTACAGGGAATTGACCCAAAACCAGGGCATGTGCCCTGACCAGAAAAATCCAAACCTGACCTCCTGGTTCCTAGGTAGGTGCTCCATCACTGAGCAAAGCTAATGCAGGCTAATTGAGGCTGAACATAGCAAAGGGAGTCAAAGGTGGAAAATTCCCATACCAAAAATGTTTAACTGAGTATCACTTGAAAGAGTACTACCCAATCTCAACAAGGACCAAGAAGAAAAAAAAAGGAAAATAAAAGTTTTTTCCCTATCTAGCCTAAATTATGTCCTAGAATAAAAAACTTTTACAACATATATGGTTCCTTTGCTACTAAATCAACAGCTCAATCTAGCTACAAACTCAAATGTTTGGATAAACTAGAATTTATCATTTTCTTCATACACTTAATGGTGGCACCTAAACCCAAACTATTCTAAAGGAGCTATCCATGTTTTATAAACATTAGTTCTGGAGCTTACATGAGGCCTCACCACCAGTGGGTATCCTGCCAAGACAACCAGCCATTAGTGATATTACAGGTCTAAGGATTAAACCTGCAAATTCCCAAGATGCATTCAAAAACCAAGACTGGCTCCAGTTCAGCTGCATAATGTGCAGTCTAGCAAGATTAGCCAACATGGGGAGATTCCAATTAACCCGATGTCCACTAGTCTTACTTGGTTTCAAGTTTACACTCATAACAACCCACCCAACCTGACTTTGAAATATATAGATCACTTATACCATTCTTAAGGACTGGAGTTCATTGAAGCATTATTTACATCAATGAGAATTGCCAACCTGACCTTTCCTAATGGGAATGTCTCTAAGCACCTCTGGACACGATATTTCTGGTGTCATGGTCTAAGTACAACCCTGCCCACCTCTTATTTTAATACTCACTGTCCAGCTGCAAGATTCTAATTTATAACACTAGACTGGCTTCACACTATTTCTCCAGGCTGTCCAACTCAGTCATGATAAATGACCCTCCCCCAGGTACCCTGGTGATTACCAATTCACCAGTACAACAGTCTGCTTAGATTGTTCCCCTTGAAGTTACTTAGGAAAGTAGGCTTTCATTTAAAAACCCAAGGAAACAAATAGTAAGCTTCCAGTTATTTTGCAACAATTGCAAGGACCTTATTTTACTGCCCCCCCCTCCACACACACACACAAAAACCAGACATGATAAACAAAAGCCAAGTTTATTGTTCATTTCTTGCACTTGAAGTACTCCTCGATGACATCCTTTGCCTGAGACTCTTTGCCATAGTCCTAAAAAAGTCATATGGGATTTTCATTTTAATAACTTAGACATTCCAGCAAGCCATAAATACTACAGCAAAACTTTAAAATTAGCTTATGTCTCATGAAAATTATTTAAAACTTCTTATTGCCATTTTCAGGGACCTTAATGACTTCAAAGTCTTTAAGGCTCGTAACATGGCTTTACTATTGCCAGCTTTCTCTAAATTTCTGCACAACACATTCAGGTAAGCAGACTCATTGGCTGGCTTGCATTATGTTTGCTTTAATTTTTATTTTTTGTAAACGGCAGAAAACATACTGTTAACCCAGCACAACCTTCATCCCAGATAATGACTTACCTTAACCACCACGCAACTGCAGCCAACCACTTTACGGGGTTTTCCCTCTCTGTCGATTTTACAGAGGCCTACCCATTCCCCTAGTTTCTTGTTGTCGTCAACCTATTTGGGGGAATTTTAAATATCACCACGTTAGTAGGCATTAATGCTGCTGTACTGACAATAAATCAAACCCAAAAGGTACTGTAGTCAGATAGGGTGACAGGCAGTTTCCTCACACCAATTCAGTAGAGGGAGCCAGTTGTCATCATGTACAGCACCAAGATCACCTACAGGTGTTGGTTTGTTCCACACCAACACCAAAATTAGCATTTAGTACTAATAGCTGCTTTATAACCACCTTTGACATAACCAGCATTAAGCTGGACACCACAAAATTTGCTCTGGTGACAAAAACCACTACAGATAGCATTATTCCTAACATGTGGTCCAATTTTCTTTGAGCAAAAGTATCTCTTAACAGTTGCAAGAAATCAGCCAGGTAACATACCTTGATGAGGTTGATTTGGTGTTCAGCACAAAGAGCCTCCACCAACTTGACGTACATGGGCTCATCACAGTTGGATGCAAGTACACAAAGGTGGGCTTGGCGCCTGAAATGCAAAACCCAACAATTAAAAGCCAAAATTCAGATCTACATCCACTACAACTGCACTTTACAAGGGAGCTGTCTCCACTGGCTACGATGGCAAAACAAAAGCAGCACATGCACTGGTGTAACTGCTTTAGTTTGATGAGCCTGTTACAGGTTACACATATTCATTCAATTCATCTATAGAAACCCCAAAAACTAGCAAATTTATGCAAGGGAACTGTTCACTAATCTCTGGTGAAAACAGAAACATACAGACATATCAAAATATGCTCAAAATCAGTCATAATCAGAGATGCAAATTAAAACCACAATGAGGTAACCACCTTACACCTGTCAGAAGGCTATCAGCAATAAATCAACAAGCAAGTGCTGGCGAGCATGTGGAGAAATGGGAACTCTCCTGCACTTAAAAAGGGAAATCTTACCATGACTGCATAAGGCAGTCAATGACAAACACCATACATGTGTGACATCTAATGAATAAAATAAAGAAACCAGCATGGATACATGGAACAGACTGACAACTGTCAGTAGAGGGGATTGGGGGAGCAAGGATGAAGGAATTACCGTAAGCAAGGACAAAATAACACACAAAAAAATCCAGAAAACAGTATGGTGATTACCAGAGGGAAAGAGGGAGGTAGAAAAGGGTAAAGGGGGAATAAATGGCAATGGAAGGAGACCTGGGGGGAAAGGGGAGTAACAACGGGACACAATACAATACATACAATACAGATGCTGTATAGTATTGTACACCTGAAACTTATCAGTGTGATCTCAATAAATTCAATAAAATTAAAACAAAAAACAAATACACAAAGACTGTTACACATAACACACCAGATCAGAGTTGTTGCCTGTTGTTACTGGCCCAGACATTAAGATACAAACAGTGCAGGGGACTCACCAAGGCCAGAGGAGTACTTCCAACAAGTGTCTCCACTTGTTATTTGACCGATTTAAATACTCCCGTCTTAGAGACGTTTATATTCCCCCATAGTTAACACATGCAGTTTTGCCAGTGTAACCAGCCCTGACACTAAACTGAATAAATGTGTAAGTGTAACTCTACATTCACGTTTCTGAAACGACTTCCTTTACTACAAGTCCAGAGGCAACCAATGTGCAGCCTCATTAAAGGGGGTTAACTTTGCCAAGCCGCCACCTGCCAAGTTCCTAGCTGCCCTAGGACGTGACATGCGCCCCACAACTACAGATTTGTCAGACTGTTACGTTTCACTCATCAAAGGAGTGAAGGGGTATCCGACAATTGAAGTCATCATTCAAAACCTGTAGTTTTCCTTTGCGAACCACGTGTCCATCCCCATTCCAAACACAGAAACCCACAGGCTAAGTGGGCCACGTAAATCTGAGCGGATACCTTTTCCTAGGTTTCCTGTCGAGCGGACGCCATTGAGAACTTTTGTGCTAACACCGTGAACTCCGCGCTCTCTTCCCTCGGCTGCGGTTTTGTTCCAGTTCCAAACCCACAGTATTGAGACTGACACACGTACTTGTCTAAGGCTTTGGCGGCTTCGCGGATTCCGCGCGCGAGGCCGTCGTGGATGAGGGCGGTCTTCAGCACCTCTTGCAAAGCAGTGTTAACGTCCATTACACCTCCAGCAGCAATGCTGAAATGCAATACATCGAAACGCCCAGTAAATCCCCCGCACCCCGCCCAACGCCTCGGACTCGGCACTCGTCGGCCAGGCACGCTTAAGGCGCCAGGACGGACCCAGAGCCCGCACCACCTTCCCGGCCCCGGCTCACCCTTCCTCGGCCATGGCGGTGGGTTATGGGTAGAGCCGAATCTTGAACGCACTGTAACACAAAAGAAAAAAAAAAGGCAGCGATTAACTAAAGGATTGAGTTTGGGCCCTGGTACTTCTTCAAACCCAGCAGAAAAGAAAAAAAAAAATGTCTAATTGTGCACCATAACCGCCTCCCTCAACTCACCCCAAGACTCCGCCTCCGCGCAGCTCCGCGGCGGCAGGGAAAGAGACTGTGCGAGCTCGCCGGACCGTATTTAAGGGCTGCTCAGGACCCCTGGGCGCATGCGCAGTGCTCTCCCTGGAAGAGGTGTCTCTGGTGATGCCGGGCCTGGAGATAGGATGCTGCTACTCTGCCCATCGCTGGGACGCGAAACAGGCAGCGCCGCGGGCAGCCTTACGTCGATCTTTCCCCAGCCGGGGCGTGGCCTGCGGAGGCCCAGAGAGCACATTCTATGGAGCGCGAGGAGGGCCAAGCGCGCATGTGGGAGACCCCCGATTCCCTGGCTCGCTCGGGCGCCAGTTTCACCCTCACCCCGTCACATTGTAACTGCTGCCCGCCCGCGCAGCCTTGCCTCCTTCCCTAGTGGGAACGCCCTCTGTTCGCCTGGAAGTCACTCTGAACGTCCGTGAATGTGTCGTTCTGTGAGTGATCGTCACCCGTGTGTGTGTATGTGTGTGTGTGTGTGTGTGTGTGTGTGTGTGTGCGCGCGCGTGTGTTCCCGGCGCGAGCCGACACGTGTCCGCGCCTTCTAAGCACATGGCAGCCGCCACGCTCCCGCCACCGTTAGCCAAGGGGAACCTTCAGCCGGGAGGCTGCTTCTGGCGGAAGGTTGCTCGGGAGAATGAGAGAAAAGGAAAGGTTTCTCAATGTCGTTGGTCCTACAGGAAGTTCTTTTATTTATTTATTTATTTATTTATTTATTTATTTATTTATTTATTTATTTATTTATTTTACGCTAAGTTGTCCCCTGAACCCTTTACCCCGCGCAAACGGACTCAGCAGGTGCCTTTCAGACGCCCACAGGGTAGCAGGCGGGGCGGGGCTGGATCCGGCCTTCACTTCCCGGCCGGACCCCGCGATCCCTAAACTCTGCCTTTCCCGGGCAGCAGCGGTTGGAATTTTGCAGAGACAAACCATTCCCCATCCACATTTTCAGTGCAAATACGTGAAAAGCAGGCTAATGTAATCAGTACAGGCTTTTTATTTTTTTTTGGATTTTTTTTTGTTTGAAGCATTACAAATAATAGTACATGTGTCTTCTTCCACCCCCCCTTTGACCTCTCCCCAGCCTCCCCTACCCCCTAGCATATGCCTTCACCTGCCCCTTCTCCCCTCCCCCCCCCCAGTAGTTTTTTTAATTTTTTTCCTTTTGTTTTAACTTCTCCTGACCCGTCGCCAAGCCAGTTGGCATAGGTGCCAGCGCTGCTGACCAGGAACAGCGGACAGTACCTTTCGGCGTGTTCTGTGGTCGGTTTCTATCTTCTGGCAGCTCGTAATCTATTGAGACCCAAGTATCATAGGCCTGTGCCTTGACATTTCACCTTATAAATTTTCTATCAGTTGAAACCTCCCTTCTTAGAACTGGAGCTTCTCTCTCTCTCTCTCTCAAATCCTACTTATGAAATAGGTTCTATTCCCAAAAATGAAGTTAAAGGACACTCTGGTGGCTTGAGACTTCTTTAATATAAATTATCCTACCTCATTTTTAAGATTACCTCTTCACAATTTTAGATATAGCCAAAGGTGGAACAGAAGCCAATGGCTACAGTCAGTCTTATACCAGCAGATTATAAGATTTACATAATGTGCACAAAATGTGCATCTGACATACGTCTGAAAAATAAATTCTAAAGTTTGTTTTAGGAACAATAAATCATAATAAATAATTTTGTTTAGCACTTTTTATGCACCAGATAATGTCATAAATTATTGTCATAGCTTTTCTTCCTTGATCATCTTTGAAACCTTATATGGTAGTGTTGGTATGAGTCCCCTTTAACAAATAAAGGAACCAAGGCTTAGAGAATTGCCCAAAGTCTCATAGCCAGTAAATGTGAAAGGTGGTATTTGAGCCCAGTGGCCATCAAAGATCATACTTCTAACCCTTCATTTATTTGGACTAGAGGCCTCCTACAAGAAATTCGTGCACAGGTAGGGTCCCTAGGCCTGGCCAGTGATCAAGGTCGATGGGGGCCTTCCAGCTGGTGGCTGGGGCTTTCCTTCATTCCACACCGCCTCCTGGTGTCAGCACACATGGCTTCCAGTCGAACACTTTACATATTAGCTTTTTGTATATATAGATGATGACCCAAATGTTGAAAAGAGAGCAGTGAGAATTCAAGGAAGCCTCAACATCTCATGGTGGCCAATATATCTGGTTCTACTTTATTGCACTACAAAAAAAAAAAAGAAAAGAAAAGAAAAAAGTTGTATAGATGGAGAAAGGGGGATTGCAGTGTTAAGCAGAAAAAGAGGAAACAGTTGAAATTTGGGTTTCTCATCTAAGAATACTTTGTATTAGTTTTCTGGGCTTGCCATAGGATCAAAAATTGGGTGGATTAAACAACAGAGATGTATTGTCTCTCGATTCTGAAGGCAAGAAACCTATCATTGCCGGGACCGGTTTGGCTCAATGGATAGAGTGTCGGCTTGGGGACTGAAGGGTCCCAGGTTCAATTCCGGTCAAGGGTATGTACCTTGGTTGTGGGCATATCCCCAGCAGGGGTTGTGCAAGAGGCAGCTGATCAATGACTCTCTCTCATCGATGTTTCTAACTCTCTATCTCTCTCCCTTCCTCTCTGTATAAAATCAATAAAATATATTTTAAAAAAAAGAAAAAAGAAACCTATCATTAAGGTGTCTGCAGGATTACTCAAGAATGTTTTTTAAAATTCTCAGTGAATGTATAGGAAAAATAGAAAATATAAAAGAGTATGAAATAGAAATTTGAGAAAGAAAATGTAAAATATGAGAATTAAAAATTCACTGAAAGGCCTAGCAGCAGATTGGAAATAACAAAACAATATGCTTTAAGCTTAGATAAATCTGAAATTATCCAACTTGAAGCAGAAAGAAAATAACAATTGAAAATAATGAATAGAGTTTAGTGATCTGTGGGACAAAATTAAAACGTCTAATATACATGTAATTAAATATGTACTTCTAACATAATTGCAGCTGAAATGCCAGGAGACAGAAAATAATATAGAAAAAAATATTTGAAGAAATAATATCCAAAAGCTTCCAAAATTTAAGGATATATTAAACAAAATCCAAAAACATGGTTGGATATTTGAACATCCTTCTCTCAGAAATTAACAGAACAGTAAGACAAAATACGGTAGGTCACAGAAGATATAAGCAAAACTGTCACTTTAACCTAATTGATTTTTAGAGAATACTACTTCAACTATAGAATATTATTTTCAAGTGCACATAGTACTGTTCACAAAGATGTACACTGGACCATGAAACAGGTTTCAATAAATCTTAAAAGATTGAAATCTTTCAGAATAGAAATCTTCCACAGTATAATTAATCAGTAATATAAATATATCTGGAGAATCCCCAGATAATTAGAAATTAGAACTGTTACTTATAGGTAAAAGACTTTTAAAAGGTGGTGGTGGGGGGGAATTAGTTAGAAAGTATTTCAAACTGAAAGATAGTTTGTGAGATATAGTGAGAACAGTGTTTAGAGGGAAATTTAAAGCCTTAAATGCTAACATTAGAAAAGAAGAAAGGGCTCAAATCAATTATGTTAGCTTCCAAAGCATGAAAAATAAGAGCAAAGTAAATGAAAAAAAAGTAGAAGGAAGATAGTTTTACTGATGAATTCTCCCAGACATTTAAGGGAAAAAATATTAATTTTATGTAAACTAACCAGCAAATACAGGAAGAGGGAAAACTTATAACTAACTTTGTGAGTCCAAGATTATCCTGCAGCAAAACTCGACAGAAGAAAAGAGAAATACAGGTCAATATTACTCAGAATTATAGATAGAATTGTAGATAGAAAAGTCCGTAACAAAATATTAGCAAATTGAATTCACATTATATAAAAAAGATAATATGTCCTGACCAAATTGGTTCTATACTAAGAACACAAGGTTGTGTTAATATTAGAGAATTGATCAGTATAATTCATCATATTAACAGAACAAATAAGAAAACCCATTTTCAATAAATGCAGAAGAAATATTTGATAAAATTCATTATTAAATTGTATTAAAATCTCTCAACACATTAGTAATAGAAGGGAACTTCCTGAATTTGATAAAAAAAAAAAATGCATATATGGCTGAAACCAGTTTGGCTCAGTGATAAGAGCGTCGGCCTGCGGACTGAAGGGTCCCAGGTTCGATTCCTGTCAAAGGCAAGTGCCTTGGTTGTGGGTACATCCCCAGTGGGGGATGTGCAGGAGGCAGCTGATCTATGATTCTCTCATCAATGTTTCTAACTATCCCTATCTCTTTCTCTCTGAAAATATCAATAAAATATATATATATTTTTTAAATGCATATATGAAAAACCCGTGGCTAAACTCATACTTAATAGGGGAGGATCAAATGTTTTCTCCCTAAAACAGAACAAAGTAGGAATCTCTATTTTCATCACTTCTATTAAACATTTTATTGCTCATCCTAGTCAATACCAAAAAGTGAAAGAAATTAAAGCATATACTGCAGAAAGGAAATAGTAAAATTCATAGATGGCATGATTGTTCGTGTAGAAAATATAAAAGGATCTATAAAACAAATACTATAATAGGGAAATTTAAATGTTTTCAGGAGACAAGATGAATATAAAATTAGTTTACTTTTATATACAACTAGAGGCTGGTGCTCAAAGTTCATGCACTTGTGGGGATGTGTGGCTCAGCCCAGTCTATGCCCTCTCGCAGTCCCGGAGCACTTGGGGGATGTCCGACTGCCAGTTTAGGCCTACTCCCAGACATCCTTAGCACTGCAGCAGAGGCAAGGAGAGGCTTCCACCACCACTGCTACACTTG